TTTTTTTTTTTTTTAAACAGACTGTGATCACAAGCTCTTCTCATTTTTTTTTCCAGCAAAATATTCACACAAATACTCAAAAAAAGATATTTTTTTGTTCTTTTATTTGTTGGACTCACATTCAATGTGATGATGATTTTTTTTTAAGCAACGCTTCACAAATTATATATGTATACTCTTTTTATTTTTATTTTTAACTCGATCACACAACTCACACAACCTCACGATTTTTTTTATTGTGCTAACAAAACACTAGAAAAACAAAGCAGATACACGGTCAATCACTCTCAATGAAAGCACCAATGGTGAAGGTCGTGTATCGAGACTCGATTTTGTGTAAGAACCCGTGCTAACAGCTTTGGTCCGAAAACGATAAAATGCGTAACCCCGCACTGACGGCCTTGGTTCACCCATTAATAAGTGAAAAACCTGCACTATCGACCTTGGTTTTTCACGAATAAATGACTCGGAGACGAGCTTCTTTCTTAATTTTAATTTCATAAAACTTCTTTCCACAAACATACATACAAAGGTCTTTTTACAATGCACAAAAGTAACATTCAAATTTGAATATTCAAACCTACAGATCTCTAGAGGATATACTTTCTGCGAGCCCAGACCACCCCCGCCCCCAGACCAGATCTAGCGTCACGCGATGCTCGGCCAACCCAGCCTTACCCCTAATAGATAGACAAACTCAGCCTAGCCACCGACAGAACTAGTAAGGTGGGGCCCCTGTCATTTGATATGTCAGTCACATCCCTAACCTGGAATGCCCGTGGCCTGGCTAATTGGACCACTCTTGCTCACGTTCGTTCCCTCATTCGTGATCATAGTTTAGACTTTGCTGCTTTCCTAGAGCCTATGACCCATATCCCGTCTTTTGACTTATACTCCCACCGTCTTGGTTTCAACTCTAGCGTGGGGAGCATCTCCAACAAGATTTGATTCTTTCAATCGCGTTACTTTACTTGTCGGATCATCCGTGACACTGAACAGGTCCTGCACATTGAGCTCTCTGCCGCCCATCTCCCCGAACCAATCTTCCATACCTTGGTTTATTTCAGTTGTGCGAGGGTTGGTCGTTATGATCTATTGGACACCAAACGTGAGATTGCCGAGAGCATGGAGGGATCACTGTTTGGTATAGATTTGATGGGCAAGGGATAACCGAGTTACCCGACTCAGGTCGATCTCGAGGGAAGGCTATTCGGAGCTTCGTCTACTAGATGATCGTCCAAAATCACAAAAAGGGAAAATAAAGTCCTAAACTTTCTAAGCAATTGATTTGGAAGGTGATTAACACTAACGAGCACTTAACAACGAGCGATTAATTGAATGCAAGATCAAAAGACGAGCAATTCGCAACCTAAACCATCGGAATCTCAAGTCATAAACGCAACGGGATGGTAATCACATAACATTGTCATGTTAGCTAAACTCTAGGTAGATAAATCACACTCTAGCACAAAACGAGTAAGATTTCATCTCCTAATCGCACTTAGTCAAGCATTCATGATCTAAAGCAACAATCTTTTCCTCCAAATAACACAAGCACAATATCAATTTTCTCAAAGAGACAAAAAAAATACACGAAGTAATGGGTTTAAGACTAAATACCCACTCTTACACGCATTTGGAAGAGAAACGGAGTCAAAAGCTCGAAACTTTACTCGAAACAATGTCGCCGGAAAACCTCCCGGAAAATGACATGATTTCCTAGTCTAGAGAGAAAACATAAATATAAGCTAAGTTCCAAAAAGGGAAAAATGAAATAATGAAGGATGGATCCCCAAAATGCAAAGGACAAAATGTATTTATAGTCTAGCCCAAAACACACACTAAAACACGCAGAATTAATGGGACACTCTCGACGTCTCCTCAAAATCCGCGAGCTCGCGGTGTGAGAATGCACGGATGCACGGGGCTGGGCGACGCTCTCGACGGCGCGCGCAAGTCCGCGACCGCGCGGGCGCGCTGTGTATTGGGGCAGGAGGCTCTCGATGTCGCGGGGGTTGATGCGAGCGCGCGGACGCGTACGGGGCGCGGGGCAACAGACACTCTCGATGTCACGGCGAGTTCCGCGTGCACGCGGGTGGGGCATGAAGAGCTCTCGAGGTCGTGGCCGTTTCCGCGATGGCGCGAGTGAGCGGGTGTTCAGCGGGTGTGGAGCTCTCGACGTCGC